ACACACACACACACACACACACACACACACACACACACACACACACAAGACAGGATTTCTTTGTGTAGCCCTGCTTGTCCTCGAACTTAATTTGTAGACCAGGGTGGCCTTAAACTTACTGAGAAACGCAGGCCACTGCCTCCCAAGTGCTGGGATTAAAGACATACTCCATCATGCCCAGCTCATTCTGCTCAATTCTATCTGCTCTGATCAGTGCTGTCTCAGCTAAATGTTTTAAATATTCCTTCTGTTTGGAACACAGACTATGGTAGTCTTCTTCAGAGCTAAGGTAAATGGTAAGCCTGGCAATGTCAACAAGAAAAGTACTATTTTTTTAAAAAAAATACTTTTTTGCTGGACATCATACCTTTTGTTTGCCTCTAGGAGCAGGACATAATACCTGAAGATTTGCCAGCACCAACAGGCAAATATAAGCTAAAATATCAACAATATGCAACTGAAATGAAAGAGGGATACAAACAGTACATTCAGAGAAATGCAGAAAAGGCAAAAGCAACTAGCACACTGGAGACTTCAAGAAACAAGATAAATGAAAGGGTAACTCATGGGCCTGTGTAAAGTACTAATGAACTTTAGAGTGAACACTGCATGTACCTTAAAATTCCGTTTTCGTTCTTAGTTATAGAAAGTATAATACTGAATATTTGTTTCAATAAGCCAGGGCTCTTTAAATTATTTTACTTGCATCAAGTAGTTTACTCTTCATGACAAACCCAAAGCCCTATTTTCAGTATCTTTCATATATATAACCATTTTTATTTACTTGATAGTGTTGGCATATATATATATATGTTCATTTTATATATACATGTTCATTTTATATATACATTATACACACATAATTTTCATGTAGTTGTTATGAACTTTGTTGGGCTACAGTTTAAGTTTTAAAGTTGAATAGGGCTTTTAAACCTCACAGTGTTTTATTGCAAAGCTGCCATTGCTTCTGTGTCCTTGCCTCATTTGGGGAATCTTATTGGTAACCTTATAAATTGCTGAAATTGTTGTGACTTTTAAAATTAGAAATAAATATCATTTAGGCATTAATTCATCATTATAGAATATTAGGTACAGTTAGTTTAATGGGTACAGGGGATACAGTTCATTGATAGACTGCTTGAGTGTAAAACCCTACACTCAATCTCTTATAATGACCTCCTGCCCCTCCCATATTATTTAATGGCATTTCATAAGTAGAAAGGAAAAGTCAGTCTTTTTTTTTTTCAAGAAAAAAAGATTTAGAGACATAGTTGATTAGTGCTGGCCATAAATAATAGAATATTTGTTCATAATTAAACTTTAAGAATAATGAGTTTATATTTGTATGTCATTTTCTTTTTTAAAAACTTTTTCATTGTTATTATTAATTACAATTTATTCACTTTGTATCCTAGCTATAGTCCCCTCTGTCATTCCTTCCCAGTCCCACCCTCTCTCCCTCTTACCCCGTTGTGTCCCAACCCTAGTCCACTGATAGGGGAGGTCCTCCTCCCTTACTATCTGACCCTAGCCTATTAGGTCTTATCAGGACTGTCTGGATCCTCTTTCACTGTGGGCTAGTAAGGCTACTTGCCAACTCATGCCAGTGGCTTGCCCCTGCTTCCCTTACAGGGAGTCCACATGTAGACTGAGCTGTCCATAGGCAACATCTGAGCAGGGGACTAGGTCCTCTCCATGCATGGTCTTTTGTTGATTGATCTATCTCTGCAGGAGCCCTGGGCCCAGATATTTTGGCTCTCTTGGTCTCTTTGTGGAGCTCCTGTTCCCTCCGGTTTTTCTATCTCCCCTTCTTCCATAAGATTCCCTGCACTCTGCCCAAAGTTTGGCTATGAGTCTCAACACCTGCTTTGATACCCTGCTGTGTAGAGTCTTTTAGGGCCCTTTGTGAAGGCTTCTGTCCTGTTCCCTGTTTTCTCCTACTTCCAATGTCTATCCTGTTTGCACTTCTGAATGATGATTATATCTCTTCTGTAGGGTTCTCCTTGCTGTTTAGCTTCTTTATGACTATAGATTTTAGTGTGTTTATCCTATATTACATGGATAATATCTACTTGTAAGTGAGTATATACCATGTATGTCTTTCTGCTTCTGGGTTACCTCACTCAGGATGATCTTTTTTAGTTCATCCATTTGCCCACAAATTTAATAATTTCCTTGTTTTTAACTGCTGAGTAGTATTCCATTGTGTAAATGTACCACAATTCCTGCATCCATTCTGTGGTTGAGGGTTATCTAGGTTGTTTCCAGATTCTGTCTATTATGAATAAAGCTTCTATGAACATACTTGAGCAAATGTCTTTGTTGCATGGTTGGGCATCTTTCAGATATATGCCCAAGAGTGGTATAGCTGGATCATGAGGTAGCACTATTTTCAGTTTGCTGAGAAAGTGCCAGATTGATTTCCAATGTGGTTGTATAAGTTTACATTCCCACCAGCAGTGGAGGAAGGTTCCCCTTTCTCCACATCCTTTCTAGCATGTGTTTTCCTTTGAGTTTTTGGTCTTGGCCATTCTGATGGGTGTAATGAGGAATCTCAGGGTTGTTTTGATTTGCATTTTCCAGATGACTAAGGATTTTGAACATTTCTTTAAGTGCATCTCTGCCATTTGGTATTATCTTGGGAATTCTCTGTTTAGTTCTGTACCCCATTTTTTAATTGGATTACTTGGTTTGTTGGTGTTTATTACTTGAGGTCTTTATATATTCTGGATATTAGCCCTATGTCAGATGTAGGTTTGGTGAGGATTTTTTTTCCCAGTCTCTAGGCTGTCATTCCCCCCCCCCCCCCGTGGACAGTGTCCTTTTAGCCAGGTTGCCTGAAGATAGACCTTTGAGGATCCCCATGTTTTCTCCTCTCACCTGAGAAACACAGATGTCAGGGATTTGGGGTCTACAATATGGCCTGTCACAGTGCAGCTCAGTTCAGGGTATCACACAAATACCCTGTGTGGTCAGTGCTGCCATCTTTAGATTGTGTGTCATTTTCTTATTGATAAAATTTGTAATTAAAATTCACATAGGAACTATAGAAATCACAACACATGGTAATTTTCTAACCGTTGGCATCTAGTCTTGCCTTATTCTCAGGATTTTACCACTCAATATTTACATCACTGTGAATATATTAGAAAAGGGAATTCAGGTTTTGGTAAGCACAGACCTTACCATATGGCAGAAAATGAGTCAGAATACCTCATAAGTAAAACTTTAATATCTTTGAACAAAAGTTCAAGTGAGAGCTATTTACTTCTGGTTTTGGAGAACCACTGACAAGACCTGCCAATCCTTTCAAATGACAACTAGTTGCAGTGTTTTATAGAAGCCCCATTTATATGTACTTTCTACCTGAAAAAGAATAACTTTTGCTTTTTTGAGTTTTCAACATAAATTAGAAGTATGAAATTATTTATTTTGATTTTTTTAAAATTGAAATAATTAAACTTAACATGGCTCTTGTAGTTTTGCTCGAGAACTTCTAAAGGACAGGTGTGGAGACTGGTGCAGTAACTCAGTAAGGTTCTTGTACATGCAAGATGACATGAGCTTAATCTCTAGTATCTAATTTTTCTTTATCTTTCTCTTCTTCCTTGTCTTCTTCTTTCCTCTTTCTCCTCCTTTCCTCTTCCTCCTCCTCCTCTTTAAAAAAAACTGAGTAATGGTAATGTAATGGTAAATGCTTGTAATCCCAGCACAGGGGTGGTATTGGGGTTGGGAGAGGCACAGAAATGAAAAAAAAAAAAAGTAACCAATGCAATTAGTGGAACAATTGGAAAAAGAGAAACTTGTCACTGTTTTACAGTAAGTAGAAGGAAAACTCAAGGAAGGCAATTTAGTCAGCAGAATCATTTACTGTTACAACTGATGGTGTGTCAACACATATCCATCATTTCTGTGGAGAAAAAAAATTCTGACAAAGGCAACATAAGGGAAGGAGGATTTATTTTGCCTGAGTTGGAGTGTGCTGTCCAGCTTGGCAGCAGAAGAGTCAGGAAGGTGGTTGCACTGCATCCACAGTTAAGAAGCAGAGAGAGGGGAATGCCACTCGTTTTTCCTTTTATTTAGCTCTGAAACATGGGATGGTGCCATCTGTATTCAGGGTGGGTCACCTTGCTTTGTCAGTCCTTTTGGAGAACACACTTATATATATCCAGAGATCTGTTTCCATGGTGATTCTAAACTCCACCAAGTTGACAATGAAATTAAGTGTTGTAACCTGCTTAACTTCCCTAGCCCCTCTGTTGAGACCTACTTTATTTCTTAGCATAACTATGGCTCCTCTGTTAACACCTGCTGTAGCCATTAGCATGCTGGAAGCCATTTTGCCTTCAAGTGCTCATGATTATGTCTCTATGGTTCATTTCTAAGACTTTGTATACTTTGTTACTGGAACACTCTATGAAGTCCCCCAACTGCAGAACCAATCAAATTAAAGGTCAGTTAGAATTGCTTTGTCTAGCTAGCCAAAATGAGGGACTGTTGCTTCCTACACCTGGATACCTGGTTGCATTTTTGTTACCTGGTTGTTAGCTAGTTGTAGTTTGTTTCCTATACCTGATAAAAGTCTGTTGCTTGGTTGCTACCTGGTTATGTTTTTGTTTTGTTTTGTATAAAAATCCCTGCCTTAGGAACAGAGCAATGTCATAGTCTGGGTCCGGAGTCCAGATTATGACTCTGGCTTGTCAGTTCCTGTTCAGCGTTCAATAAACCTCTGTTGAGTTCAGTCTGGTATCTGAGTCAGCGAGTGGCTATTCCTGAACCCATAACACTAACCATCACACAAACCTAAAATTTAAACTTAAATATGAATATATATGTATGTGTACAGATAAGGAAATGTCTTTAAATAAACCATGAAATTTATTAAAATTTAATATTAGGGAGATGCTATTAATTACCTAATTACACTTAGTTGTAATTGTATACATGTATATATACACACATATATGTATCAACTTCTCTGAAAAGACAATACCTTTCACCTTAGAAATGACCATCATCATTTATTTATTTTTCTGTAGATGTTTTTTGAATGCCTATTAAATAGTTACTTAATGCTTATGTACTAGGCTTCCTTTCTGTCACTGGGTACAATTTAATGAATGAAACAGATAAAACATCTGTACTTGTAGAACTCACATCCTAATGCAAGGAACTAGTAAGACAAAATACCAATGGGTCTGTTAACCCAGTCTATCAGTTTTGTCTGATAGATGATGAGAGATGCTGTGAGCAGGAAACTGGAATAGGCAGGGCAATAGGTAGACAGTAGTACTTCGTGGAGGCCCATCAGGGAGGCCTTTCCAATAAGATATCCCTGCATCTCTCACCTGAAAGAGATGGGAGACATGCAGTCAGGAGAAAGGCTTTAGTGCTATGGATTAGCCATGAAGTGTTTCTTAAGTACTATAGTATAAGATGGTGAGTGTGGGCAGGGAAGGAGGGAGAGATGGAAGGACTAGGAAGAGATTATTGAGTTACAGGGAGGCCGACCACAGAGGTCCCACAACCCATGTGTGGGCTTCTGCCTTTTTCTCTGAATTGGAGATTTGCTTTATTCTTTTGTGAGTGGGTCTTTATTACAGGCACAATTAGAATCAGGAAGACCTTTGAGGAGACTTCCATTATAACATAAGCACCAAGTGAGGGTGAGGGCTCTCACCCAGGTGAAGGTGAAACAAATTTAGCTGAGAGGCAGTCTCATTGGATGGCTAGACTCTGACAGTGGGCCAAGTTGCTAATAGATTGGTTGTAGGCCTGAGAAGATCAGAGTGACTGTACATGGTTGAATATTTAGGGCAACGTCATCTGTCAGATGATAACTCAAATTGCCTAATCCACGTAAGGGAAGATGGGTGAAATCACTTATACGTGGCTGCCAGAGGCTGGGGTTGGGGATAGAAGGATGTTATCAAAAGGCTCAGCATTGTTTATCAGAAGAATAAGTCCTGGGGAACTAATGTTAATAACTACATGGTGACTGTAGTTCCCAGTAGTGCATATTTTGGTTCCTATGAGTAAATTTTAAGTATTCTCACACACTTATACTCACCACACTGACAGGCATTGGTTGGCATTACTGTTGTAATTATCACTCAATGAATACATATCGATTTTTCACATTTTATACCTGAAATATGTACATTTTCTGTTTATCAAGTTAATATTACTAAATTAAAAAATAACTCTAAGCATTTTGGTTGGAGCAGTTGTCATAAGCAAGAGTTAGAAAGGAGCATTTGAGAGTCAGCTTTGGGAGATTAAACTCGATATATTAGTGGGAAGGTCACCACTTACCTTTTGTGGACAGTTAGAGAAGAGGGATTTTGCTTGTTTGCTTTGAGACAGTCTCAATATGTGATTTGGATCTTGCTCTGTAGATCAGGCGGGCCTTGAACTCACAGGTCTGCCTTCCTCTGCCTCCTGAGTGCTGATATTAAATGGATGAATTCCCATGCCTGGCTGCGAAATGATTTTCACTTGAACATAATGCTACTTTAGCATATCTTTTATGTTAATTTCTTTAATTTACCTCAACAACATAAGCTAAGCATTTTTTTTCTTTTTAAATTCATTTATTTTTTAATTAGCTACAGTTTATTCACTTTGTGTCCCGGCTGTAGCCCCATCTCTTGTCCCTTTCCAATCCTACCCTTCCTCCCTCATCTCCTCCCATGCTCTTCCCCAAGTCCACTGATGGGGGAAGTCCTCCTCCCCTTCCCTGACCCCAGCCTATCAGGTCTCTTCAGGACTGACTGCATTGTCTTCCTCTGTGGCCTGGTAAGGCTCTCCCCCTTCAGGGGTAGGTGATCAAACAGCCACTGAGTTCATGTCAGAAACAGTCCTTGTTCCCATTACTAGGGAACCCATTTGGACACTGAGCTGCCATGGGCTACATCTGTGCAGGGGTTCTAGGTTATCTCCATGCATGGTCCTTGGTTGGAGTATCAGAAAAGATCCCAGGGTCATGATTTTTTTGTTTCTGTTGCTCTCCTTGTGGAGCTCCTGTCCCTTCCACATCTTACTATCTCCTCCTCCTTTCATAAGATTCCCAGCACTTTGTCCAATGTTTGGCTATGAGTCTCAGTATCTGCTTTGATACCCTGCTGGGCAGAGTCTTTCAGAGGCCCTTGTGAAGGCCCTTGTGAAGGCTCTTGTCCAGTTCCCTGTTTTTTTCCCTCTTCCTATGTCTATTCCGTTTGGTTTGCCTTTCTGAGTGAGGATTGAGCATCTTACCTAGGGTCCTCCTTCTTGCTTACCTTCTTTAGGTGTATAGATTTTAGTATGTTTATCCTATATTATATGTTAGCTAGGCATTTTCTTGGTGTATGTGTAAACAAGTCGTTATTTAGAAAAAAGGAAATATTAGCAGGTAAGTAAATCAAACTCTAAAGCATTTTCTTTCATGGACTTCCAAACAGTAGTTACTTTTTAAGCATTGGGGCCACAGTTGTCATGAAACACCTGTCCTCAAGGAACAGATCTCATGTTAGGAGATGCAGGCACTCCTAAGCAATATGTAACAATATTTCATGTAGGAATGAAAGGTCATGAAGTTAGGGCAGAATCTAACGACAGTGTGACCTTCCAAGGAAGATGGACAGTGAGGAGAAACCCCAGAGAAGAAACTCTTGAAGACCAGCATATCTCTGACTTGATGCTGTCTTTTTAGGGTTGTTTTGTTAGGTAAGGGATTGTATAGCTCATATTTATTGTAAGTTTTGGTGTTTATCTTTTTGAAATCCTGAAAAATCCCACATTACTTCTGAATATACCTTCATATAGAATAGACCCTGCCCCATTCACTATGGCTCCAAGAACTGACCTGGCTAAAACAATGAGGTTGAATGATGAAAGGCAAACATATGGGCACACAGAAAAGCTGGACTCTCAATGGAAAAGCCACAGTAACCCAGAAGCTTAGCCTGTTTATCATATAGAGTTGAATAGGGAGACAGTTTCATTCATCCAGATAAACAAGGAGCCAAGATTGTTGTGTACTGAGAAGGAGGAGGCTGGTTTTACTAATCTACAGAGCAGTCTCTGTAGGAGATCAGTCTTCAGGCTGTAAACATGGTGGAAGGTGAAAGTTATGGTGGACATTTCGTGCACACATTATCAACATTTACACATGGATCAGGAGGGAAGGATCTGCCTTTTTCTGAGCCTAGCCTGAGAAAGGCTCTGAGACCTCCCATGGGGCTGAGGCATTGGCCCTTGATGTGGTCATGCCCATGTCAACAACACATTCACTCAGGACCTCACACCACACACGGCATCCTCTCCTCCCTACAGGACATATCCACATTTATTAAAATTTGAAGGACTCTGTGTGTACAATGCTAATTATGACCATGTCTGTCCTTTACTTAATGTTTCCTGTATATCAGGTCCTTTTATAAGCACTAAACATATATCGCCTTTATTATTTTTTGATATAGTATATACTGCTATTCCCAGTTTATGACTAGAATGGGGCCCAGAATGGTCGCCTAGTTGAACCAAGACCAGCATTCCAAGATGGGCTTGTACTCTTAGCTCTCAAACAGCCTTTGAGATTCTTAGTGGTTATCTCTTTCCTGGTTTTGTTAAAAGCAGATATTGTGACTATGTGCCTGATGATCCATTTATTGCCTTCATTCTGTGGTGTGATCAGGTGGAAGGAGCCAGTGTGGATGACCTTATGACTTTGGATAGGAAAGCCCTGTTACAGCAAGGCTATGCAGATAGCCCTTACCATATATGGAACAGCACAAGAAAATCAGATGCGGTAAGCCATCAGCAGTTTCGTTTATTTGCTAAGTCACTAAGGTATTCACCCTCCAAGATTTTACATTTCAAAATGAATAAAGTTATAACAGTGAATTTGGACTAGGATAAATACTCATTAATATCTAAGTTGAATCCTTAGTTTTTATCAACAATTTGCTTGTGTTAGATTTGTTTTCAGAAGAAAATTTGTTTTGAATCATTGAGTTTGAGAAAACTTAGTTTACTCTGCTCACTGTATTAATTGGTCACTGTGTTAGTGTGCTTTGAATTTGACATTGCTTTTTTGCCACAAAAATAAGCCCAGTATTTGGGTTACTTTTCAGATTATGCTTTAATTATATTTCTCTCTTTGCATTTCTCTCTCTCAACCCTTTGTGTGTGTACGTGTGTATTTTAATTCATGAGCTACTGACAACAAATTTAAACCAGTTATGGAGAACAGGAGTCAAGTAAGTTTTCTTTGGATAAAATGAAGATGCTAAACTTTGGGGCCAGAAATATGGTTCTGTCAGTAAAGCACTTGCCTTGAGATCACAGGTAGAGTTCATAACTCAGAACCCACATAACCACAGCTGAGTGCAGCTGCAGGCACTTACAGTCGCAGTGCTAGGAGTAGAGGTGGGCTGATCCCTGGGCACGGGGGCCAGTCTGTCTAGCCTACTGGGTGAGCTCCAGGACAATGATAGACTGTCTCCAAACAAAACAACAAACAAAAACAGGTAGCTGGAATCTGAGGAACAAAACCTCAGGTTGTCATCTGAGCTGCACACAACACACACACACACACACACACACACACACACACACACACACCACACTTCAGACTTTAAATGTTAAATTTAAATTTACATTTTTTAAAAATCAGTAAGGTTGGTGAATATTACTTAGTCCAGGCCTGTTATAAATAGACAATCATCACACTTCTCTGGTGTCCTGTAGGAAAGGGAGGAAATGCTGTTTAAAGGCAGAGTCCTGTGGTCCTTCATAACTGCTAAGAGCTCAATGCCTTAGACATCCTGTAAAGGCTGATAAAACACCAACATGTGAACTCCCAGCTTGGAAATCTGTACTTTGACTTAAATCTGTACATGACTTAAATAATCATGGAGCAATATGTTTTTCCTAGCTACCTAACTTTTATAAGGCAGCAGTTCTCAAGATTCACAATGCTGTGACCCTTTAATACAGTTTCTCATGGTGATCCACAATCATAAAATTATTGTTGTTGCTACTTCATAACTGTAGTTTTCACAGGTTGAAAAATGCTTATTTCACTCAGAAAACAATCAAGATATAGTCATTCCATTGCTGTCCTACAGAATCAGTATGCGATGTATTTCATAGTGTGATGGGAAGACTGATTTTTTTTTTGTTTCTTTTTCTGAGTATGGATCTGTTACAGGTCTTGCTGTATAAGGAATTTTCTTGCTCATTGTTGTCCAGGTATTAAGCGATTATAAGTTCTATTTGGAGCCTATTTGGATGTATGAATGTTATATTTTAAATTTCTGCCAAATGAAAACTAAATTTAATTAAAGACTACCACTTAAGTGACTGGTGCTCATTTCTTAGGCATCTTAGGAATGATGGCTTTGATATTCTCATTTGGTATATTGTGTCTGTTTCAAATAAAACTGCGTTTGCTAAGGCTCTATTTAAAGTAGTGCCATCATATTTGTTTTTATTTATTGGAGTGATCTGTAGGGATGGCCAGAATTACATTCTAAGATCAGAACACACCTTGACTTGACTCCTTCAATTTAAACTCTTTCATCTGTCTCCAGAAGAATTACTTTAGTGTTAACAGTTGCATGGTAACCTCACTGGTATTGAATAATTGCAAATCTCCCAATTAGATATTTCCCAAAAAGTAGCAAAAAATATTTTTGGGTGAGTTTGGAAAGTGAAGAGTAACATGAAGACAGTTTACATAATTCTCTATAATTTTTTTGAGAATTCCATATACATATACAATGAAATATGTTTATAGTTGCCCCTATTTAATCCCTCCAACTTCTCCCATTGTCTCTCACAACACATCCCTCCCTCCCAACTTTGTCATAACTCTCCAAGTCTGATTAGTGTTATCCATATGTGGGTGTGGGGCAATCAACTGGAGCATGATAAATCTACCTGGGCCACATCTTCTCTTTTGGATTCTGCTTTCCTCAGAAGGGTGTAACTACCAGTAGCTTCACAGAAAGGGGTGGGGCCTAAGATGAGAGCACCCCTCTCATCTTAGCCAGAACTTTGGTTGCCTTGATCTGTACAGGTCTCTCTTGTTGCCATGGGTTTATGAGTACAGTAGTCATACCATGTCCCCAAGGAAGTATTTATGAAGACAGTTTAATAAAACCAGCAACCAAGAAAAAAATATTACTAATTCATTATATGTGGAGCAAAGATTGTCATTTTTTTCTATGGTTTAGTTTTCTTAAACATTTAATTAGCTAATGCTTAATTGATTAACTAACTTGGTTGTGTATGTAGGTGGGCATGCATATGCCACAGGGAGCATCCGGTAGTCAGAATCAACTTGCAGGAGTCAGTTCTCTCCTTTCAACATGACGGTCCCAGAGATCCAACTCAGGTCACCAGGTCTGACAGCAGGCACCTCTTCCTGCTGAGCCATCTCATCAGCTTTCTTTAGGTTTTTGATGAAAACTGAATTATCTCTATTATGCTTGTCTTTTCTATGGTGACTCGATTGTACTAAATTCTCTTTGTGCGTGCACAGGCATTGGTACTGAGGACCTCCCTGCAGCGAGTAGGGAAAGGGTGTGCTGGATGTGTCTCCAATGGGCTCGTGGAGAAAAGGCCTGCCACCTTCTCCTTTGTACTGACCGGGAAGCGCAAGGCAACTTGTTGGAAATGTGTCATGATGTCTACTGAAATTTAAGTGTATTAATTTTTACGGAATGGTAGTTTAAGATTGAATAGTTGGAACTTGTTATATTAACAGTTGTAATCTGTACTTAGGAAGAAAATAAGAAAAAAGTTAATATTTTATGATGTGTGTTAAATGTTCTGCTCTATGGGTAATGAAATTGATTTTTACTTCCCAGGAAACTGTGGCTGTAGAGAAGAAGAAACAGACTGTCACAGAGCAAATGATGATAGACCACTTATCCAGGTGAGCGCTAACAGCTCACCCCACACCTCCACTCCGAAACTGACCACTAAACATCTTCTTCATGCGAAGCAGCTGTGTGCTTGTCAATCAGCACTCAGCTGCTAGCAGTTCCCAACTTTCTGTTCATGTACCCTTGCCATTTTAGTGAGTTATTTTTAATTTATTATTATTATTATTATTTTATAAAGCTCTCTGAATGAATAGAAGTACTTAAAGATAGTCCACAGAGATAGTTTAGTGTGTGAAGTGCTTTCCAAATAAGCAGGATAATCTAATTTAATACCCCAGAACCAATGTGGAGAAGCCAGGCGTGAGAGCAGTGCTGGCTAGGACCCTTCGGGCTTGCTTATCAGCCAGCCTAGCTTACTTGGTAAACCAGGCCAATGAAACTCTGCTCAGAAAACAAGGGGGGTTGGCTTCAAAAATCGACCTCTAGAGTCCATTCATTTGTGCACACACCTGCACACACAGATGCGTCTACATGATTCGCAGGTAGGCAGGCATGCACATGTGCACAGACACACACACAGAAACACACTTAAAGAGTCTTTCTGTCTTAGGGACCGTCTTTATTTAAACCTAATAACTTTTTCCTGACACTTTAATGAACACTTCAATTACATATAAGTTAGAAGACAGCATTTTACAATTTCATTTGTAGATTTCCAGATTGCTTTATAATGGGATGTAAGCCCTTTTGAGCATCACAGACCCCTTCGGAGTTATCTTCTGTTCTATGTTGGTGTTCACATGACATCGGCTGTTTGTCATAGCACATGTAGAAACTTGGCTTTCAAAGATATGATGTCACTTCAGGAGATTAAGATATCTTGTCAATAATCTGATTGGCCTGCTCTTTGATCACCTCCCCCTGATGGGGGAGCAGCCTTACCAGGCCACGGTAGAGGACAATGCAGCCAATTTTGATGAGAATTGATAGACTAAGATCAGAAAGGAGAGGAGAACCTCCCCTATCAGTGGACTTGGGGAGTGGCATGCATGCAGAAAGGGGAGGGAGGGTGGGATCCGGAGGGGAGGAGGGAGGGGCTTATGGGGAGATACAAAATGAATAAAGTGTAATTAATTAAAAAAAAGATACCTTGTCAAAAGTTGACAAGTTGCTATGGTTTCCAAATGGCAATGAGCATCATTTCTTTCCATTAGAAATGAATATCCCCCAGAATCACTGTGGTACCCAAGGTGACTTGTGTAGAGTTGAGGACTGTGAAGCTCACTGTCAATAATTTATGAATCCCCCCCCCAGAAAACTGTACAAAACAGTACATAAAGTGATAAATGGCGATGTGGCAAGGAAATCATCTAGTAAGAATATATTTAGTGTGGTAGCCATCTACATTTGATTAGCATTTTTTTTGTTCTTTTTTTTTTTTTTTTGTGTGTGTGTGTTTGGTGCTGGAGATTGACCCTGGAGCCTTCCATATACTGCATAAGTGCCAGCAAGTTCTTTGAAGTCACTGTCTGCAATGTTATCTTTTTATTTTCATAAGAAAAGTAGTGACATCATGTCACTAGATAAGGGAGCTTTTCAGTTCTCATGATCTTGGCTCATCAGCAGTGTCTGTCTCAGTTGAGAATTTTCATCTTTTGAAGCAACTTTCTCCTGTCATTAAATGTGGTAAATGAATTCCATATCTCCTACGTATTTGTTTCCTGACTTCAAACATGTTCTGTATTCTGAGGCATCTTTAATCTTCAAGATTTTGATTTCTCTTTTTTCTAATCTGAGTTTTCTCACATGACTAAATCTGCTTTAATTTTCCTCCATAGCAATTCCACTTTTGAAATTTTTTAGTCCTCATGTCCCGGTGATGCCCTTGACCAATTTCTTTTTTCAACTCCAATATCAACTTTGTTAGCAAAGACTCAGTTCTAGCAAAACAAGTTTATTTCTTCTATTGCCACCCCTTCTTGTTGCTGCCATTTTCTATCTTCTGGATAAGTTTTTTCAGTCCTCACTGGGTTTTATTGAGCTTCTATTCACATCTCATTTGTTCATTCTCCACCTACTCACTAGAGTGAAACTATTGAAAGACAATCAAATCATCTGTCAATTCCCCATCTCAATCTCAGGAAATTCAATAAAGCTTTGGTACCCGGTTATATGAAATGTCAAAATTTAGTAGCTAAAAGTAGATTGTTCCTATATGTCTTTAGGGTAGCTGTCCCAGCCTGGCTGGTCAGATCTTGTGTCTCACTTAGACACATTATAAAGGAACAAAAGAAATGATGTCAGTTCTGAGTGTAGACCTTCAGCAGCTGCATGCATGTCCATTTTCCCTTTTGTGTTTTCTCCAACTCTAAAGGAACACTGCTTGGCTCTCCAACTAGCCTCCAGAAAAAGACCCCTCTATAAACGTGGCTGGGCTACTTAACCAGGGCACCCTAGATCAGCAGATTTCTTTTTTAAAAATTATTAATTATTTATTACCATTTATTCACTTTGTATCCCAGGTATGGCTCCTCCCTTGTCTCCTCCCAATCCTACCCTCCCTCCCTCTTCTCCCCTTATGCCCTTCCCCTAGTCCACTGATAGGGGAGGTCCTTCTCCCCTTCCGTCTGACCCTAGTCTATTTGGTCTCATCAGGACTGGCTGCATTGTCTTCCTCTGTGGCCTGACAAGGCTGCACTTTTAGGGGATATATCAGCAGATTTCTAACCACCTCATACTTGCCTGACTTAGTTTAATGAAGAACAGCAGAGCCATCAAAAAGTACATCCCATCATGGCATGCAACTGGATCAGAGGTCCTGATGAACCAGGGCCACTGCTGCAGGCTGTTGGGTTCCACTTTTGAGCTGTTCCCCAGTAGGACACTACTCTATCCCCTCAGTCCTCCTTCTCTTTGGTGTTCCACATACATCAGCTTGGTATCTTTTGAGAACATGCCAGGCCCCCCTCTAGCCTCTGTTCCTTTGCATTATTTTCTCCTCTGTTTAGATGATGTTTCCTCTGGGAAAAAAAAATCTATACTGCTGTGCACTAATTTTATTTTATACTTTTATTTGGAAGTCACACTGTTGCAGCTTGCCATGGACGCTGTATTAGTCAGGGATACTATTGCCATCATAAAACAGAAAGTTTGGGAGAAAAGAAGTCTTTTTGACTTCTTCCACATCATTGTTCATCACTGAAGGAAGTCAGGACAAGAACTCAAATAGGCAGGAATCTGGAGGCAGGAGCTAATGCAGAGGCCATGGAGGGGTGCTGCTTACTGGTTTGCTCTTCATGGGTGGCTCAGCCTGCTTTCTTGTAGAACTCAGGTGCCAAGGGATGGCACCACCCTTAATTAATGATTTTCTTAATCATTAATTAAGAAAATGCTTTACATGTTTGCCTGAAGCCCAACATTATGGATGCATTTTCTCAGCTGAGGCTCCTCCTCTTCAATGACTCTATCTTGTGTCAAGGTGCTTTGGGAGCCTCCTCACTGCACTGTTGCTTTTCCTGTGGCCTGGTGTAGTATCCGCATAGCACATACTCACCGTCTTGACTCATGAATGTTTGAAAACTAGAAAAGGGAACTTAATGGGAAGCAGCAGAGCTGAGTTTGCCGTTTAGCCATGTGACTGAAGGACTTGTTGTATCTTCATGTTTTCTTTCTCCATCTCTTGATTTTTGTCTTTGCTAACAAACTTTAAAATTTCATATAACTCTAACATTCAATGTATATGTATTTAACAGCAGACTGTTGAACTGTTGCATGTGTGTGCATATATCAGAGAGGAGGAAAAGAGGTGGGAGGGAGAGAGGAGACACAAAAGAGAAGAGTTGATATGACACTTTTGATATATATTTTTTTTATTCTGGAAGTTTTAAAAACTTTCTTGATCCTTAGTTAAAACAGCGGTTTATTGGTTTCACAAATAAATAGGATCTAAAGTCTAGCATAGTAACACTTGAAGTTTTTCTGATTGTTCCTGCTATTGAAGAAACGTAATCAGTTCTCTAAGTCCTTCTTCTCAATTGGTGTTTAGTCTTCATAGTTTTGAAGACTTGTGACACTTTTTAAAATGTTTGCTCATTTGTAATTTTTAGAATTTAATTAAATAATTTAGAGAATTTCACATAGATGTATTGTATTTACATCACTCTCCCTCTGTCTTTTTCCTCTGCTACATCTAGACAACTTAGATATTGGAAGTAGGACCATATTGATCTCCCCACAACTCATGGCTTCTTATTCTTGTTACACACACACACACACACACACACACACACACACACACACACACGTGCACACACACACACGCACACACACATGAAAAATGGCAATACATGCTAGCATGGGTGGGAGAATCTCACAAGGCCCAGGGCTTAGTGAAGAATGTTAACGAATGCTGAGAGAAAATGGCTCAGTCTTCTCTAGTAATGAGTCCCCTGAGCATCACTAAAGGGACCCAGAAGGTTGTATTTATGGAAGAAGCAAGGAGTGAACCGATCTTTCAAGCCCCAGCCATACAAGGCAGGTCCTCCAGCTCTACTGCACTATTTTACTCGGAGGCATCACACACGGTTGGTTCCCTGTGATAGTCTTTCTCCTTTTCCTCTGAGCGTGAACCTCTCCTTCCAATCCGATCAAATGCTTCCATGGACTCCCTCTACATTTCTTTTCTTTGTGTGTGCGTGTCGTATGTGTATGTGTGCATGTGGAGGCCGAAGCTGATGCCGAATGTCTTCTGCAATGGTTCTTCCACTTGGCTTTTGAAACAGTTTCTCAAGGAACCTGGCGCTCGCGAATTAGCTCAGCCAGCTGGCCAGGGTTCTTCCCACCTTCATCCCCTTCAGCTCTGGGGTTAAAGGTTCGTGCCACCACTCCCAGCTTTTGTGCACTTCTGGTGATCTAAACTCAGCTCTTCGTGCTTGTGATGCAAGGAAGCACTTACTGACAGAGGTATCTCCCTGACCCCCCCTTTTTTTTTTTTAAGAAATCACATCCTGTTTCTCTATGCTTCCCCATCCAAGTTCCATTATCGTGCTTACCACTTATACCAGATGAAGGAACCTCCATCTGGTATAGAAGAAGCAAGTACCAGAATGGCCTGTGCACATGTCTGTGGGGGCATTTTCTTGATTGTTTATCAATGTCAGAGTGCCTAGCTCTCTGTGATTGGTACTGTCCTGGGTTGTAGCTGAACCTGAGCCTGGGAGAAAGCTAGAAAGTAACCTTCCTCTTGGCCTCTGCCTCAAAATCCTGCTTTGGTTCCCCTCAATGATGAACTATAAAGTGTAAGATAAAATAAATCTTTCCTCCCCAAGTTGTCTTTGTTCAATGCTCATATGGAAATGGAAAACACTTTAGAACAAGTCTTACTTACCAACATTTCTCCCCAGCAGAGCATCTCTTTGAAGAGTGGTAAAAGGCACGAAGCTCTTATTTCCTGTCTTGGTTTCTAGGTGATCATATGACCTGTCGGGAGGAGAACACAGATAACTATATTCACTTTTTATGGGCAGTATTTTAAGACAATTAAATACACTCATATATGACAAACATTGTTATGACAACAGGACAAATTGCCATCTGGTGTTGGCATTTTCCAAGTGCTCAAAAAGAAATGAGCACATATTTTGTCAGGCTCGACATCAGATTTTGTGTCCTCCTGCTCAGGGCTGTCATCAGCGATCCAGAACAAGGTTTAAGCACCATTAAACAAGAGAGTTCTCACATCCCTCCAGACTCAGAGAGGGCGCCACTGCGAGTAATAAGACGAACTCTGCATGAAACAAAGTAAGAAAAGCTTAATGATGTATTGTTAAAATGCATGTATGCACTGTACTGAATAAATGTGTGTGTTTTAAAAACTGTGTAAAGAGAAGTAAAAGTTTTGGGATTTCAGGGCTGTCTCCTTGAATTTTTTTCTTCTACCTTCTCTCCAATTTTTTTTTTTTTTTTACATTTATAATTTAGAAAGGAAGTCACCATTTTTTTTTCAGGATAATGTATGTGAAAATGAGGAATATAGTAATTTAGACATCTCTGCCAGAGGATGGTATCTTGCCTGGCTAAATCAGAATCACATAATATACGAAGGATTCATTTGCAGAAGAAAAGACACAGGAAGGACTTGCCCTGCCTCTTAAGTAGCCCACTTCTGGAGTCACAGGAGGGTAACCACACCTTTGACACGTGGGCCTTGGGGTCATATTAGATCCTAACTGTAGCTATTGTCGGAGGCTTTTCTGGTCCTTTGGTATAGCCCACTGAACCTCCACAACGGCTTCACTGACAATTTATATTCAGCCTCAGACTTGATAGAAAATTTATTGTACACAGGAGCTCTTTTGTGTTTTAAGACTGCTATAAATGTCTGTCTTTCCTATTTTTTTTTTTGTCTCATTCTTAGTGTTTATTGCTACATTTAAATATTTCAGGTTCAATGTTCTGGATTCCCATTGTTATAGCAACACAGTGCTACAACCAGCATTGTAAAACAACACAAATATATCCATGTGGTTCTAGAGATACCAAGTCTAAAAGCAAAAAGCTGACAGGTCTTTACAAATTTCAGGACAGACTCCATACTTTTCGTCTTTCTCAGCTTCTTTCACACCACTTTGACACTCCTTTGTAGACAAAACTTTCTCTCTCTCTCTCCCTCTCTCTTACACACACACACACACACACACACACACACACACACACACACACACACGGTTGCATTGAATCTGTGTGAGTAACCCTCATAATCTCCATATATTATGACCTTCAATTTAATCACAGATTCCACATTTCTTTCATTATGTCCAATTAACATATCCACATGTTCTAAGCATTAGACTATGGTTTCTTGGGGGGGGGAGATCATTTATCTATTGTATTTCTAATATACATTCTCTATATTTAATATATCTACTATATATTTAAATGGTCCTTTAAAGTAAGCTGAAATGAGACATGCTTTTAAATAATGTACAAATTTAAAAATTTTAAAACTTTAAAAAATATAGGAAGCATGACAAACAGATCAATATTCATGTCTCAAACTCCCATGTGGAGAAACTACACATGAACAGCACCCCATAAACATGCCTCCAGACTCTTACCTGCCTCACTGCTGTGTCATGTTAGGTTCTATGTCCTAATACCATAGATAAAAATGAATGCTTAGGAACTTTACAAAGGAGAAATAAAAAAAAATTGTCATTATGGCTTATCTAAAATGTTTACAATTTTATTATGTAATCTGTGGGTGAGTTTGTAAACTCCAATGTCAATGCCTGTGGGGGTCAGGGAGATTGGATCTCCCTGGGACTGAAGTTACACACAGTTACGAGTGACCTGGCATGGAGGCAGGGAATGAAACTTGTGTCCTTTGTAAGAGCAGTGCGTGCTCTTAGCAGTTGATCCATCTCCCCAGGCTTTTGGTTAGTTTTTAAATCTTTCCCAATACTGTCTGTCTGAATGTATTTCTTCTTATAATCATCAATCTAATGTGGTGTCTGTAAAGACTGACATTTTTTCCTCACCATTATTTTCAGGAGTGCCATCCATGTTGTCATTCACAGTTGTTTCTCTCATGCAGTCCATTACTCCACCATATGAATATAGTACAACTTACAACTCAGAGATGCTTAACATGCCCTCTGATTTATGAATTATACTGCCGTGAATTTCTTGTGCATACTTCTGGCAGCCTCCCCCCACTTATGTGGAGTGAATAATTAGACTTTTGGACCATGTGGTATGCTCATGGTCAGCTCTACAAGATACCGGCAAACAGTGGCTGGATAAGTGGCTTAAGCTGTACATCCTTGCCAGCACGTGACATTGCCCATCTTTTTTGTTGTTTTTCTCCTACTGGGTGTGTGCTAGTGATTTCACTTTGCACTTCCCTGAAGTCTAATGATGTGACTAGTTTTCATATGTGCATTGCTCATCCAGAAGTCCTCGTGTGACCAGTTTACCAATCTATTCTTTTACGGTTAGTGTTTTTTGTATCTTCTTTTAAGAAATCTCAGCCTAGTGGAAAGTAAATATCACCCTGGGTTTTTAATTTTATTCTGTTGTATGTCAAGTTGTCATAAGTGCATAGACATTTCATACCCTGTTTTCAGATGTTCTCATCTGTCTTATTGCACTTGTCTTAGTATTGCTGCATAACAAATACTTGCAGCTTGGTTAAAGCCATTCCAGCTCAGAAAAATCCCATGGGGGGTTTTGATGAGGACTTGCAGATCCATGGCTTCCCACTCTATTGTTTTACCCGAGGGAGGGGGAAGGAATCCAGCTTTGTAAGATGGCATCAAGATTGGCATGTGTAGTTCAGTCTTCTCTCTTTTTCTGGAGGCAGCTTCCTGAAGACACATATATTTCACTCTTGTACCGAACTTTATAAGTTTCTTATCATTAAAAAGAAGCAGTCTGTGTAATTCCAGTGCCAAACACCTATCCTATTATTGTTGTGTGCCTAAACCATGATTTCCACCAACTTTGTCAATGACAAAATTCATCTTTGTTATTCATTGTACTTAATTTTTCTCTTTGAACTGGTTTAGAACTTATATAGAGAAGAATTCGTGCTACTTACTGAGCACCTGGAACCCAGCATGGCACTCTACATATATACTTATGTCCTTTTGTGATGACTCAAGTCTCCTTGATGCAATTACTTCAGTCTTTCAGTTTTGCTCACCACTAACAAATAAGAAAATATAATGGTTAGAGCAAGGTTGTTTTCCAGATCTGTCACACACTCATATGGCTGCAAGCAACTACTTATCTTGTCTTCCATGATAAATGTACTTGTTAAATGGGGATTGCAGTGCTTACCTCACAGTTTTATGGCAAGCATTAAACAAACCCATGCATATTAAAGTGATTTAATAGTGACTAGTGTTTACAAAGTCTTCAATAAATGGCAATTGTATTGCTGCTGCTATTTTCCCAGCATTTAAAGTCATTCCAGGAACATAGTGATTGTGCAATGACTTCATTACATTGAATTGAGATGACAAAGCCTTCATGGCTCCTCCCAGTGTTCTGAAACTCTCATTGGGTTAGTAGGCTGCTGTTTCCTGTCTCCAGCTTTCTTTCTGTGGAGGGAAATCTTTACCTGTTTTCAGTGACTGCTGCTCACATGCTCACATGCTTACTATTACAGCATTGCCATTTCTTTATTCCTATAGTCTTCATAAAATTAAATGAACAATGATGATACATCACAATCTGAATTTTAATTTTCACATTTAATCTGCACCATTTCAAAATATTGTCATAGCCCTTTGGTACATTTGTCATCTATGTCAGTTGAAACAGTTCTGAAACAATAACTTACAAAACGTGTCTTGACAGGATAAGAACCAACTCCACACTAACAGAGAATGACCTTTCTCGGAAAGTAGAATTTGATGGGAGGGTCTTATCAAGGTAACTGTCGCTTTATCAAACTTTGTACAAATGTGATTATAATAACACACTCTTTTTCTTCATAAAACTGTCAAGATTAAATTCATGTCAATACTGAAAAAAACTGTGAATTTTGGGGTCATATAATTGTAAGCAATAGCTTTTATTGTTACAGAAAATAGGACACTATAGGGCAAATATTTTAAACGAGTACTTATAAATCGATCTTAAAAGTCTTTTGAAAAGACTGGATGTATTTGCATATTACTAACAGAAGTTTCTAACCTATTTAGAAGTTAATTTTTATGTCAGATGGTTAATTCGGTTTTAATAGTTTGAGTTAGCAGGTTATTTGATAGAGCCAATAACAAGGAAGATAGCTTTTAAATTTTCTGCCTTGGTCGTGTGAACTCTGCAAGCTCAGCATTTTAAAGGCCTTCTGCTTTATCTTCAGTCTCTGTAGATCACCATACTGTGTTGGGACAGAGCTCGATGCTGTCTGTTGTTAAGCTTGTGTCTTCTTCATCCAAATCTAACTCAGTCGGGGATTTCTACAAGCTGTAGCGTATTTCCCCTAAATCTGCCTGATCCCCCACTCACTGCTACACAGTCGAGGGAGTTACAATTTTGCTACTTGAGATGTATAATCTTAGTTTATTATTTACTTAAAACAATCATATTTTAAAACCATTGGCATCATCTTCTTTTTCTAGAAATGGACGTGATGCCTGCAGGGAACTAATTGGATTTTTCTTTACCCACGACCAGTCCCTAACTGTGTATGAGTATCGAACTTTTGGGAAAAACAGGTATGCTCTGGCACACTGTCAGACCACTAGAGAACTGCTTCCAAGAGGAACTGAATGACTTCATTGTTGTTGTTTAACTTCTAGAACAAACGTGCTTCCTTTTATTAAGAAAGACATTTACAGTCATCAATGTGGCAGGAGAAAAGGAAAGCATTACCAGCTTGGTGACTTCTATACTGTAAGTATGTGTCTGTGTGCTGGTACTATAGTTTAAGTGTGTGTGTGTGTGTGTGTGTGTGTGTGTGCTGTCAATACAGTATAAGTGTATGTGTGTGTGTGTGTGTGT